TGAAGATTTTATTTTCTTGGGCTCCAAAATCACTGGGGACGGTGACTACAGACATGAAATTAAAAGACACTTGCTCTCTGGAAGAAAAGCTATGACAAACCTAGCTTTGCTGACAAAGATCCATATAGCCAAAGCTATGGTTTTTCCAGTAGTTATGTACAGATATGAAAGTTGAACCATAAAGAAGTCTGAGTGCTGCAGAATGGATGCTTTTGAACTGTGGTGCTGGAGAAGACTCTTGAGAGTCCCTTGGACAACAAGGAGATCAAACCAGTCAATCCTAAAGGAAATCGACCCTCAATATTCATTGGAAGGACTGATGCTGAGGCTGAAACTCCAGTACACTGTGGCCATCTGATGTGGAGCGCTGACTCACTGGAAAAGCCCCTGAAGCGGGGGGAGATTGAGGGCAGGAGCAGAAGGGGAGGACAGAAGAAAAGATGGTTGGATGGCATCACCGACTCAATGGACAAGGGTTTGAGCAAATTCCAGGAGATAATGAAGGCCTGGGAAGCCTGGCGTGCTGCGGTTCATGCAGTTCCAGGGTCAGACACGACTTGGTGACCGAACAACAACAGAGCCCAGAGGTCCTCAATCAGGGGTAATTTTGCTGCCGGATACATGTGGTAACATCTGCAGATGTTTTTGGTTGTCTCAACCAGCAAAGGGAATTAATTACTAGAGGCCAAAGAGGCTGCTGGGCTTCCCACGTGGCACTAATGGTAAAGAACCCACCTGCCAACGCAAGAGACGTCTAGGGACACTGGTTCCATCCCTGGGTCCGGGTGATCCCCTGGAGGAGGGCATGGCAACCCACTCCAGTACTCTTGCCTGGAGAATCCCATGGACAGAGGAGCCTGGTGGGCTACAGACCATAGGGTCACAAAGAGCTTAGCACAACTGAAGTGACTTGGCATGAACACATGCAAAGAGGCAGCTGAATATTCCACAATGTGCAGAACAGCTTCCAAACAAAGAATTATCCGGTCTACAAATATTGACAGTGTTGAGAAACACTACAGTCTAGCCCAACTTTGGCACCATACATCCTATCATTTGATTACTCATTATGGTGTAGAATCTTAGAGTTGGAGAGGAACTTTTAGAAATCATCCTATCTCCTGCCTGAATTGTCTGGGTAAGCAGACTGACCAAAGAGATGCTGAAAGTCAGAGAGTGAGTCTCTGGCACAGCTTTATCCTGATCCCTCCGTCTTTGACCATTTCCGTTTCACAATGCAATTTTTTCCTTCCAGGTATATTTTAAAAGCTTCTATAAGCCAGGTTAGGATCCATTATTATACCTGCAATACTCTCCCCTCCAACCTTCTCCCTCAGTCCAAAACAAGGAACACAGTACACATCTTGTCAAATCACAATAACCTTAGATTTTATAAAACATCATTTGATACCCCTGCGAACACATTTTTCAAAGAACTGTAGGCTTCTCTCCTGGATATAATCTCTCAAAACAAAAGATGACCACATCTAAATCACAGAAAGAAGAAATTCTACAGAGACCTTCTGCTGAAGTAATTTCAACATTAATTAAAGTAAATACCAGCCAACTGAGTCTTACGCATTTAAATGATGGTGATGAAAATTGCCATCTTCTAGCACAGAGGAAAACAGGAAAGGTTTCTAGTCAGGGGAATGATTAACTGAATTCGTATAGAGAAACAGGGGAAAAAGCTCATAAAATTCAACAAAAACCAGAGAGGATGGAAAATTGTATAAGTTTGTAAATTTGGCTCCTAGAAGCTCTTAGTTATAACACATTCCCATAAATAACTTAATTTTTTCTGAAAAAAAAAAAAAAAAGCACTTAAGCTATTATTGACACAGAATTCAAAGAGGCCAGGTTAAGTAAAAAAATGACAGATGAAGGCTCTGTATTGGAAAAGGTGAGCTAATTGGCTACTAAGCTACTGCTAAGGCGCTTCAGTCATGTCCAACTCTGTGCGACCCCATAGACGACAGTCCACCAGGCTCCCCCGTCCCTGGGATTCTCCAGGCAAGAGTACTGGAGTGGGGCGCCATGGCCTTCTCCGACTGATTGGCTGCTATCCTCTATATCAAGGCAGAACAGTAGAAACAGAAGTTCAAGTGTAGGCCTGGAGTGAGCTGACTGTGAGTTTTAGTCCAGGCAGCTGTGAGACTTGGGTAAATGCCTTCATCCTGCAAATCTTAATCTCCTAAACTCTGAAGTGAGAATCAGTAATAATATTTACCCAAATATAAAATTGTGAAGATCTGATGACAGAACACAGGAAAAGTGTCTGCCCCAGGATCGAGTTGAATCTAAAAGATGAGTAAAGGAGAGCTAATATTACAACTATCTCTACTTGTGGTTCTTTAATTTTATTTCTGAAAAAAAAAAAAAAAAAAAGGGAAAATTATTTAGTCTCGGGATGTTAAATTTTTATTTCCTCAGAAGAAATATGGCAAACCCTTCATATTAGGATATGAATGAGACCTTCAATCACATTGATGTCTTCATATTTAAAATAAAACAGCAGGTAATCACTTTTAGATAATGCATATGTGGGGCTTTTTAAGTTGAGTGAACAAATCTGTAGGATTAAGTACCTGGAAAATAAGTGAAGCTTCATTTCTTTCGTTCCTCCCATCTTCCCTCTCTCCCTCTTTCCATTAACAAGATGTGCAAATGCATGTACCTGAGGTTCCGTTACAGTAAAATATCTATGGTAAAACACTTAGTCAAGCAGCTAAGTGTTATGGAAAAGTCTGAGAAGGAAAATTTTAGAGCCTTAGGTTCCAATTCTGGCTCACACTAGCAATGAGATAGCAGGCAAGACACTTAACTATCTCTCATCTGTAAAATAAGTGGCTTGGCAGATGATTACTGAGGTCTCCTCTAACTTTAACTACTGGATTGTACTTTTATTTCTGGAGAGCCACAAGCAGACATCCAATTCAAATATGTTGTTAAAAATGGTCCTGTCTTTTTAATAGTAAGTTCAATCTGTAAGAAAAGAGTGAAACACTATTCTTTTTTTAAAATATTTGTCATTTTGAAGAGGTATCTTGGTTCAATCATTTGGCTACATTTTAAGCTCCCAAACAATAACTGGCTTTATGGGTATGTGATGTACACAGGGCCTCAAGCTTAGAGAGGCTATCTAACCAGATTATGGCTATCTTGAAATTCTTAATTTTGAAAAAAAAGTTTCATTTTACACAAGACTCTGCAAATTATGTAACTAGATCTGGCTACAACTTATAATTTATAGTTTAATTTCTAGGCCCAGGACTCCTTCTTCTTCTTCTTTTTTAAAATTAGAAACCCACATGGGCCTCTTTCTCCTGCAGCTACTCTGTATTTGAGTTAGAATAAACTGCTTTACCTGCCAGATTGCAGGATGTGTGGAATAGTGCAAAGGACACACATAGCCACCTTTGTCTTCAAAGGGCCACCCCTCAGCTTCAGCCATCTGTAGTGGCCTAAGCTGCTTTCACTGGGAATTTCACATCAGCGTACATGTTTGTGAGAGTCTAGCAGACTGGAGAAGACTCAGTGAAGAGACTAAAGAGTCCTCCTTTGAAAATCCAAGACGGACAGGCCAAACAAGCGTGTGTTCTGTGAAAACCTCCAGTGCCCACCTCGTCCTCTTGTTTGTGTTCCTGAACATTTGTTTAAGACCTGACCACTCTGTTTCAGAAAGAGTCTCTAAAGGGCAGTAACTAGGGAACTGGCTGCCCAGGTAGCCCAGTGGTAAAGAATCTGCCTGCCCATGTAGGAGCACAGGAGAAAACAGGTCGATCCTTGGGTTGGGAGGATCCTCTGGAGGAGGAAATGGCAACCCACTCCAGTATTCTTGCCTGGATAATTCCATGGATAGAGGAACCTGGTGGGTTGCTGTCCATGAGGATGCATGCAAAGAGGAATCTACTCATAGAAAGACTCTGAGGTCAACTGCTCCTTGTGATGATAATTCAACTTCAAAAACCACTTCTGACCTCTTCCATAGTGCGTAGTGTGTGTGCAGTCCTTGAGCCAGGCGGGGAGGACACAGCGACGAGCAAACACAATGAAGACCAAATAATCTCAATTTATCACGGTGGCCTGATCATTGTCAGCTTACACCCTAGCCTGTGAAATAAGGATACTACTTACTTCACAGAGCTGGCAGTGACGATCAGTTCAGTTCAGTTCAGTCGCTCAGTTGTGTCCGACTCTTTGCGACCCCATGAATCGCAGCACGCCAGGCCTCCCTGTCCATCACCAACTCCCAGAGTTTACTCAAACTCATGTCCATTTTTAAGAGTTACTTCGTAGAAGTGTTTGCAAGGTGTAATGTGGGCACACGATTTAAAAACAAAGGCAATTTGTTTCTAGAGATACGTAGAGGTTTTTCTCCCCAATAGGAGCAGCTTAAATGGAAGTGGAGATAGGAAGAAATTTAAATGATTTGACTTTTCTCATTTTCAAACATTGAAACTTGTCATCCCGTGCAGCGCCCCTCTCCAGACCAGTCACCGAGAGGAATGCCACCTGAATAGAGATGCCGGCAGAGAAAAGAGATCCTGCCCATTCCAGCGCTGTCCATGTACGCCCATCCAGAGCTTCCAGACCTGTTGTGTCTTTTTCTCTTCCCACGCCCGTCTAGTCCAGCCGTCCGGCAGGACAAGCCCCGGCGACCGTGCCCCGACCCCAGGCTACCGCGCTCACAGCGGCTGTCCCGCGGTTCTGGGAAGGGGAGCGCGCGAGCGCGGACGGGAGGGTGGGGCTGGCTCTGCGGGCGGGACCGTAGACTAAACCCGGCAGCGGGAGCTGCGGACCTGCTTGAAGAGGAAGCGGAGGCGAAGGGCAGAGGCGGGACCAGGCCGAGGTGGGCGGGTCCGGGGGCGGGGTCACGGGATGCCCCTCCTGCTGGTACAGGCGGAGCCCGGAGCTCGGCTGGGAGAGGCGGGGCTGGGCTCAGGTGGGTGGGGCCTGAGGAGCGGGGCGGGGTGCGCAGCGCGGGGGCTGAACCCTGCTAAGACTAACGCTGTCGGCCCGCGGACCCCAGAGCTGCGCTCAAAGCTGCAGCCCGGGACGTGGCTCCCCGGCGGAGGAGGGCGAAGGGACTGCGCGATGGCTCCGCGGGGACTCCCGGGGTCCGCCGTGCTCGCCGCTGCTGTCTTCGTGGGAGGCGCCGTGAGTTCGCCGCTAGTCGCCTCGGGTGAGTGCCTTGTCGCGGCTGGGGCGCGCAGGCGAGCGCGAGGGATCCGGACTGCTGCGCCGCTGAGCCCCCAGCTTCCCTGGTCTTGGCACAGCTCCGGGATCGTGGCGCTGAGCATCTGGCTGTCCTGGGGTGGCCCGGGTCGGGCGCGGCGCGTGGCGATGGCTCCCGGCCCTTCCTTCCCGCCCGCTGGGCTCCCGCCTTCTCTCTTCTCGGCTGCTGCGAGAACCTGTTACCAGCCCCCCTGCCCCCGCCTCTGAGCTATCTGGCCTGTAGGGACCCGGGCGGGCTCTTGCCTTCCTGGGGAGCGCTTCCGCCTGGGGAGAGCGACCCGGAGCCCTGCGGACCCCTTTCCTGCCCTTGTCCTCAAAGGGCCCGCGAGCGGAAGATCGTGACACCGGCGACCCGGTGCGCTGTTGTCGCCGGCTTCCTCCCCCCTCTTTTTTTTTTTTTTTTGTTTTAATTTAAATCTTAAAGCCTTGAGGAGTTCCACTTTCTTTCCAAGTTTTATTTTAGCATCAGTTTTGGAAAAAGGGTAGGCGAGTTTGTAAACTTACCTTTCCTTCTTTGAGCTGATTCCTGTCACCACAAGAGGAACCTTCTGTGGTCAGAGCAGGAAGCCATCAGCAGAGATGATAAAATACTGTCTCCAGTGATGAACCTGGAACAGGAGTTTTTAATTGAAATCTAAGACGAGGTGTAACTTTCACGGAAGTCCTTCCTCTTTCACACTCTTGTTTTTATAACTATAGACGCTAGGGATTCCTTCCCACTTGTCCCCTCTTAATTGCCACCTCACAGCAGTAGTTAAAATAATAAATGTATACCTTCTTGGCCAGCTGGGGTTACTACAGCCTGGAATCTTACGTCAGCAAACCCTTCTAACCTTGAGCAGCTCCTCTTCAGGTCCAAATAATAAGCAAGTAACTGGAAGCCTTCCAACCATGACTATCTCCTTCCTAAAAACACATATACTGCTCTTCTCTCCTGAGAAGAATCTGCTTGCTTGCAGCGGTTTAAAAAAACTGGCTTAGCTCCCTGGTCTTCACTCTTTCATAGAAACTGGAATATGTTAGGAAGGGACCAGAACGGTATGTCTCTTGAGTCTTTATTAGCAGATCTGTATTTCCTTCAGCCAACCACCCTGAGGAAATGGGCACTAGTGACATGTATTATTGGATGAGAGATTTGGGGTTTCACCCTGCATACCATTACTGAGACAGGTAGGGGCATGAAAGTGAAAATGTTAGTCGCTCAGTTGTGTCTGACTCTTTGGAACCTCATGGACTGTAGCCCGCCAAGCTCCTCTGTCCATGGAATTTTCCAGGCAAGAATACTGAAGTGGATAGCCATTACCTTCTCCAGGGAATCTTCCCAGACCCAGGGATCGAACCCAGGTCTCGTGCACTGCAGGTGGATTCTTTACCATCTGAGCCACCAGGGAAGCCCAGATAGGGGCATCATCAGGTTCAGATTGGACCTCAGGTTGTAAACGGTACTTGCAGGGCTAGAATCAGTTGCTCCAGAATTTGAAGAGCTTAACCTGGGAAGTTGTTAAAAATTCAGCACATGATGCATGTAATCAGTCATAGCGGGAGAAATCCTTCCATAGTGTGAGTATGTATTTTGATGGATCTTTGAGCAGCACCAGCTTTCCGAACTGGAATGTGATGATGAAAGCTCTTAATTACGCAGTATAACACTTTAGAAGAAGGAGGTTATCTAAAAGGAAACAGTACAGAGTACAGATGTGCCAGTGTGACTTGAGACCTGTTTCATGGAGAAAATATGCCCTGAGCAGCTAACATCTGGTGCCCACGGAATCTAAGACAGTGTTAACTTTTGTAGGCTTGGTTTAGGGAAGTAGGGAGAAAGTTGGGAGAAATGTTGAGTATCTGTTATGTGTCAAGCTTTGAGCTGGGCACTTTATATTCATTTTTATAGTTATTTCTCATGATTCTATGAAGTTCTTATTTCCAGTGCAGTATCTCAAGCCCGGAGAGGTTAAACAATTAGTCCAAGATCCCATAACTAGTGTATCATTCAGCATTCAGTTAGAGAAGCAGAACCACTAGGAGGTGTGTGTGTGTGTGTCTACATGTATCTTTATCTTTGATAACCCAGCCTGCTTGAGTCCAAAGTTCATTCTCTTTTCCCTAGACCTCACTGCTCCTCAGAGAGAAAATAGAACAGAAATCAACTTCGGTGTCTTGTTGGGGTTCTAGGATAGGGAGTTTAGGACATCATAGTATTGTTCACTGTGGGGTTATCAGACTTTGGGAAGCAGAGAAAATAAGGATAGTTACGTGCACAGTGGGTAGTGGCAATGTCTCTTTGACTTCCTGCCTAGTAGAACCTCTTTAAGCTTCTGTCTTGGTAGCAGCATTTGAAACTGTATACCCCTGCACCAAAAGGGATGGTTTTCCACACTTGGCTTATTTATATCTTTAAGTTCTCTGGTTACTCAGGACTTAGTTTCTCTGCAGACAGTGGACATAGCCTTTGAGGAAGGAGTGGACTGAAAAGGACCAGGGACTGGTGAATGAGCAGTGCCCTCTCCCAGGACTCTATGGGCTTCCATCCAACCTCCTGACTCCTCGTTTAGATGCTCACGATAAGCTTTATTAAATTCCGGGTTGTTCTTTGGCCAGGTAGCTGCTTGGCTGTGTATCTGTGTTCTTCGTAGTCAGTGTGCAGGATGTTTTGAGAAAGTAACCCTTTGGGGCTTGGGCTTCCGAGCCCAAATTGTATTGAAAGAGAAAATGAAAAACTCGAGGTGTGCCCGCCATTTCCCATCTTCTCCGCTTATCCCCCCAAAGTAAATTAAACAACCATTGCTATTTGGGCGTTTGAGTAGTTGAGTTTGAACAAGAGAGATCAAAGACCCAGGTGATGGAGGAAGAAGTTTTGTTGTTACTTTTTAAAGAATCGTTTGTCTCTGATGTTGAAGTTCAATTACATATTGGGACAAAAGAGAAGTTATTTAAAAATTGATAAAAAGTGATTGAAATTGTCATTGGTTAAAACTATTATGCTGAGTGGTTTCTGAGAATTGTAGGGTAGTTACTTCAGCAATTCTGAAGATTTGGTGGGCTGCTGAAAGCAGAGAGATTAGTGACTCTGGTGCGGCTAACAGGACTAAAATTGGAATTTGCAGTTAGTACCCCGGAGGCACTTTACTCTTTTCTGGAGGAAGGAATGCAGTATTTATTCTGTTTTGTGGCAGGTTCTGGTCTAAGTACCAAAATCATTTAATTCTTACAGCATCCTGTTAGCTGTATAATTTTATTCCTCCATGTATAGATGAGGAAATTGAATCCTGAGAAGATCTGTTCAATTCTGAGGCCTTTTATTACCAGATCATTTTGTTTTGCCCTATAGTGAGGAATTTCTTTTTATTCTAAGATATTTAGAGAAACAGGTTTTTCTTTTACATATTGTTGTTGTTGTTTAGTCGCTAGGTTGTGTTCAACTCTTCTGTGACTCCATGACCTGTAGCCTGTTAGGCTTCTCTGTCCATTGAATTTCCCAGGCAAAAATAATGAAGTGGGTTGCCATTCATTTCCTTCTCCAGGGGATGTTCCCAACCCAGGGATCGAACCTGATTCTCTTATGTCTCCTGCACTGGCAGGCAAATTCTTTACCACTCTACCACCTGCGAAGCCCCAAAGGTATTTATAAAGAGTCATTAATGTGTAAAGACTTGATAGAGTGGAAAGAGTACCAACCTTTAGGTCATAACCCTGGAATTACAGTGTGCCTGCACTTTCTGGAATGTGATTCTCTCTGCCTCTGTTTTCTTGCCTGTAGAATGGGTATGTGCTAACCCTATCTTTGTCTGTCTTACTGGCTGCTGCTGCTGCTAAGTCACTTCAGTCATGTTCCTGACTGCTAGCGAGGAGCAAATGAGCTATTGTCTCTGAAAGGTATTGGCAAATGGCAAAGTGGTATATAGCTTTTATCCTGTGTATCTCTCCCCCCGCACCCCGCCCCGTATTTCTTATCCACAGTGCCCCTTAGACTAGACTTACAGTGTCAGTCAAATTGTCTAATAAATGTAGACCACACATGTTTTCATTCTGGAGGTGGTGATGGTTTGCAATCATAGGTTCCTTGTAAACGTATGAAAGTCTGGAATGACACCTCAGATGCGAGTTTGCTGCTGCTGCCTGGGAGTTAAATAGCCAGCCAGACCTTTTTTTTCCTACTTCCCCTCAGCTGAAACACAGTGCTCTTGATATTTCTGGAGAATTCCCCAAAAGATTTAAAGTTTGGAGAAGAAGGGAGAGAATCACTTTTGATCTCGTTACCCCAAGGCACTTACGCCTGTCAGCCTGGTCTTCTATATGTATTTTCCACTTGGAGGAGATCTTAATGCAAGTATGCTTTTTTACCCTGTGTTTTTTTACCTAATGTTATACTTAAAGGTTTCTCCATTATTCTATACACTCAAAAAGTGGCTGCATAATATTCCATTATATGGATTCTCTATATTTTACCTCACTGTGCTTCCATTTTAGATTTTAGTTTTTGCTAATTATTTTTAAGTGAATTTTAAAGCTCATTGTTTGGGTGAATACCTATGCATAAAGCTTTGTCTAGATATCAGTGACTTCCAGAGAAAGTGGGTTCCTGAAAAGGCACTGTTGGGGTCAAAGGTATTTATGTTTGAGGCCACTGGGGACACCAACCTTGGTGACTAAAGGGTGTCCCGTTTTACATTCTCACAGCATTGGTCAAAGGACTCACTTTTGACATTGTTGGTATTTTCTCTGCAAAACATATTTGCTAACTTATAAGGCAAAAATTCCTGTAGGACTTCCCTGTAGCTCAAATGGTAAAGAATCTGTCTGCAGTGTGGGATACCAGGGTTCTTTCCCTGGGTGGGGAAGATCTCTGGAGAAGGGAATGGCAATCCACTCCAGTATTCTTGCCTGGAGGGGCCCTGGGGCTACAGTCCGTGGGGTCACAAAGAGTTGGACGTGACTGACCAACTAATA